ATTAGCACAGAGAAAAGAGGACAACATATTTTTAATAAAAGAAGATAATTTATTTAAATTTGGGTTAAAGGAGAGAGGAGACATGGAGCCCCTACTGTCATTGAGGCGGTAGACTTCGATAATTTATTGTTCTGGAAGCAGTATTTTATATCTTTTTTCTTTTTTTTTTTTTTTTTTTTGCCATAGGAAAGAAGAAAAGAGTTTGAACAAAATCTCATAAAATCAGGTCTTGAGCTGGAAATTGAAGACAAAAGGGTAAATATACCTGACAATTTATGTGAGAATCTTATTTATTAAGTGTTGTTACTTCTCTTTTGATGTTTTTACTACTAGCTAGCTTTTGTGTCAGGGACAGCATAGAATTCTTCTGGTCACAGAAGTGTGAGCTGGCAATAATGTGGCCTGTGGCTCTACAAGTCAGTAATCAATGAACTGGGTAGGAGATAAGCAGTGGGACACTTTAAACTGTACAAACATAACTTCTATTCCGCTGTCACAAAGGTGGACAAAGTGGAACCTATCATTGGAGCCAGGACACTGTCCACAGTTATGCCAGCATCTTTCAACTTCTTTTCATTTGCTGTTTTCCTTTGAAATTGTTTTCAAAAACCTATCTAATATCTTCCCTGCCTATGCCACTTCTAGTACTATCTAACTTTAATACACTTTTGTTCTCGTTTCTCTCCTATCTTTACTAAACCAGTAAATGTATGTTGTACCACACAATGTGTAACCTTTTTATCTACATAACTAACCTTTGTTATCTAAAGTTCTTTCTCTTCGTGTAGGCTGATACAGAAGCTGGGTAAGAAGAGTGAGAACATCTTATAGTTTGTATGTATCTCTTATATAACCTATACTAAATTATGAATTCATATCTGGCCACTAAAACTTAAGCAATTACCCAGAACCACACATGTAGCTGTGGATTTAGGACACAGTGTACCTTGACCCTGAGTTATATCCTTAAAGATACGAGCTCTTTGTTTCTGAGTGTCCCTGTCTCTGTCTGCCTCTGTCTCTGCCTGTCTCTGTCTTTGTCTCTGTTTCTCTCTGCATGTTTTTCTCTCTCCTCATCTCTTATACACATACATGCACATCTCTTTTGAGAATTTCATTTTCTAAATTTTTGCTGAAAACTCTTAACACATTAAACGTTCTGTGCCATCTTTGAAAATTGATAGAATTTTAATTTCCTTGATCAGTTCTAAATTTTCTGCTATCTTGCCTTTTTTTATACAGGACTCTGAGGATGGAAGAACTTACTTTGTCAAGATCCATGCCCCTTGGGAGGTACTGGCTACTTATGCAGAAGTGTTGGGAATCAAAATGCCTATTCAGGAGAGTGACATTCCGCGGACCCAGCACATGCCTTTTAACTGCATGCTCACGCCTGTGAAGCTCCCCGAGAGTGTGAAGTACCCACGGCCTGAGTATTTCACTGTCCAGTTCAACAGACATCGGCAGGAGCTCTTCCTCATTGATGATAAAGCAAGCTTCTTCAAGTCCTCATCAAGAAACAGAATTGTAGGTAGAGAAGGGCTTGGGCATGTGGATCTCCTGGTGCCTTTGTGGGCTTGGGCCAGACTGTGTCTACCCCGTGTTCTTGTGTGGAATTGAAGCATTTAGTGGGACTGGGCATGCTTGAAATTGCTTCAGGTCCATTTAATCTTGGTACTCATTTAACAATGAGTGGCTGATGGTGTTGGTACAGTAATGTCAGGCACATCAAGCAGTCCTAGAAAACACTGAGCTGAGGAGCAGAGGGTTTTTGAAAAAATGTATATGAACCTTATAAATAGCTTTTATACTTTTTTATTTTTAAAGGGCATACAAATTAGAATTAAAACAGAAAAAGTAAAAAGTAATATAGATTTCACTTAACAAAGTACTATGAATTTCACAGAGTTAGTTGTAATACATAGTGTTATCTTCCAACCAATTATTCGTGTTACTAGATATATGCATGTAAAATTGGAAGAAGAAACAAAAATGAAAGAAATGTGTAAGAAGTTAAGAAGAGAAAAAGTATAAACAATTGAAAAAAAGGAGATGAAATAAATTAAGCATTAACTGTTCCTTTCAATAAACCACCAGAAATCCACAGTACAGTTGTGATAACCATCCTGCTTACATGCATAGATGAATCTCTTTCCTCCACTCCCTCTCCTGTCATTCTCCTCAATTCAGTAACTCTTTCCTTTTGAATAAGTTTATTCCCCTTTCCCAATATCTATTGTACCCTTTGCATTCCAGTTTTCTTTCTCAGGTTCTCACACAAAGGAGATAATATGATGTTTACACATGCAAGTCTGATTTATTTCACTTAAGGGGATGTTCTCCAGTTATATCCATTTGCTAACAAAAGACTCAAATTTATCATGTTTTATAGCTGAATAATATTCCATTATGTAAAAATATCACATTTTCTTTATCCATTCTTCAGCTTCTGGGCATCTGGATTGTTTCCAGGATTTGGCTATGAAAAATTGCTTTGTTGCTATAAACATGTATGCACATATATCACTGTAGTATGAGGTTTTCAGCTCTTCTGGAAAGACACCCAGGAGGGGAATAGGTGGCTTGAATGGGATCTCCAATCCTAGCATCTTATGGAATCTCCACACTGATTTCCGTAGTGGTTGGACCAGTCTGCACTCCCACAAAAGTACACAAGTGTTCCTTTTCCTCCACAGCCTCTCCAGCATTTGTTATTGGTTGACTTTTTAATGTTAGCCATTCTTTCTGGGATGAGGTAGAATCTCCGTGTTGTTTTAGTTTGCATTTTTTAATGACCAATGATATGGAACATTTTTTCATATACTTAATTGCCATACGTATGTCTTCCTCTGAGAAGTGTATAATCATCCCAGATGCCCATTTTTGGATTGGGTCTTTTAATGTGGGGGACCTGATTTTTTTATTCTTTGTATGTTCTAGCTAGAAGATCTTTGTTGGAGGGACAGTTTGATATATTTTTCCCCAGTTTTTAGGTTTTCTTTTTACTGGTTGGAGATTTACTGAAGGGCAGAAACTTTTTTAAAATTAATTTTATTGACAAATAGCAATGGGACAGTTTCAAAACCAATTAATAGGACAGTTTCAATAATTAATCCATTGCATATTATTGTCTTTGTAGTGGCTATTCGTAGTTCAAGATGCAGACATGGAATCCTGTCCAAACACTATTAGTACAAATCTTTCTTCTCATTGAATTAAGAGAAAGTAACTGTATATCTATCTTAACTATTTTGTATATACAGATACAAAATGATCCTTCATTTATGTCCCCTTTTTTGTTTAGTTTTGTCAGAGATGGTTATTCCATTGCCATTTAAATATTGTGGTTCTGTGAATTCAGTAAAATAATCCAATATAGTCCAGTAGTCCATAATAAAAGTGAATTATCTGTAGGACTGGCAGTGTCAGAACTTCAGCTTCTGACATTGCCAGGCCTACAGAAACTTTTCAAAAAGATGAGATCCCAGTTATTGATTCTTTGAAGTATTTCCCATTCGGTTTGGTTTTTGTTCATGAACTCTCTACTTATCCCTATGTCTTTAAGATTTCTGCCTACATTTTCTTCCACAAGATTTACTGTTTCTGCTTTAATATTTAAATCTTTGATCCATTTGGACTATAGCTTTGTGCATGGTGATAGGCATAGGTCTAGCTTTGGCCTTCTGCCTGTGTAAAGCCAGCTTTCCCAGCACTGTTTATTTATTTAATTTTATTAATTTTATTGAGAACCAACTAGCAATGAGACAGTTTCAAAACCGATTAGTAATAAAGCCATGCTGAAAAAAAAAAAAAAAAAAAACAACTCAGCTTATTGGTCCTTTCAACTTATACCAATGTATAATATACAGAAACATGATTTACCATTTCCCTAGCTAGCTCCTGAGCCAATCAAGTTGACAATTAAGCTTAACCCTCACCATCACTAATCAGAAAAACTAGCTCATTGTAATAATTTGTTGTCATAGGATTTTAAGAGGCTGGATTAAGTCTCTCAGACTTTGGATGTCAGAATAACTAACTGGATTTTAGAAGGAAATGTTCAGAACTTTGTTTCTACGCATTACTTTTTTCTCAATAAACAATTGTAGCAAATAAAAAAAACCGATTAGTAGAACAGTTTCAATAATTAATACATTGCATATTGAAAAGTTCAGAAGGATTTTTTTTTTTTTTTGGCTAGCTCAGGATGATTTTAGGGCAGGTCTGGTAAGGCATGGGGATTTGGGGATTGAACCACAGAATTCTGAGCCTGACTGCTTTGCTTAAGCAGGCACTTAAACAACTGAGCTAATGGACAGGCCCCCCAGCACCATTTATTAAAGAGGCTGTCATTCATCCAATGAACATGTTTGGCCCCTTTGTCAAAGATAGGGTGGCTGTGTGTGTTTGCAGCTGTATTTGCATTTTTAATCTGTTCTGTTGATCCACAGGACTGTATCTATGCCAGTATTATGCTGATTTTATTATAGTATCTTTATATTATAATTTCAGGTCAGGAATGGTGATATCCCCTGCCTTTCCTTTGTTTCCCAGGAGTGCTTTCAATATTCTGGGTCTCTTCTGGTTCCAAATGAATTTGAGGAAAGTCTTCTCTAGCTCTTTGAGGTATACTGATAGTATTTTAATAGAGAATGCATCAAATTGTATAGCAATTTTGGGAGTGTGGCCATTTTCACAAAGTTGGTCCTTCCTATCAAGGAGCATGGAATATTTTTCCATTTCCTCAAATCCTTCTCAACATCTTTTCTCAAATTATCATGTTTCACTGTTTAAATCTTTTATGTTCTTTGTTAGATTGATTGCTAAGTATTTCATTTTTTTAAATGTCATTGTGACAGCTGTGGTTTCCCTACTTTCTCAGTGCATACATTGTTTGTGTACAAAACTGCTACTGATTTTGGGATGTTGTCTTTGTGTCCTGCTATGTTTCTGAATTTGGTAATTAAATCTGTAAGACTTTTGGTGGAGTTTATGGGGTCCTCTATGTGGAATATCAGATCATCTGTAAATAATGATAATTTCACTTGTTTTCCAGTCATTATTCCTTTTATTTTTCCCTTTTATCTGACTAGTCTGGCTCATGTTTCTAGACCTATATTAAATAGGAGTGGAGACAGTGGACATCCTTGTCTTGTTCCTGATTTTAGAGTGAAAACCTGCAGTTTTTGCCCGTTTAGTATGATGTTGGCTGTTATTTTCTCCTAGACAGCTGATTTCAGGTTGAGATATAGACCATCTATTCCAATTCTGTGTAGGGTTTTTATTGTGAATGAGTGTTGGCCTTTTTCAAGAGCTTCTTCTGCCTCTATTGAGATGATCATGTGGTTTTTGTCCTTAGTTCTATTTATGTGGCACATTACATTTGTATTTGCATATGTTACACCCCGCATTCCTGGAATGAACCCCACTTGGGCATGATTTGCTGCATTCTGTTTGCTAGTATTTTATTGAAGAGTTTTGCATCTATATTCATTAGAAAAATTGGCCTGTAGTTCTCTTCTTTAGTTGGTTTTAGAATCAGAATAATACTTGCCTCCAGAAATAAGTTTGGGAGAATGACTTCCCTTTCAATTTCATTGAAGTGTTTGAGAAAAGTGGGCATTACGTCTTCTCTAAGTTTCTTGTAGAATTTTGCTGTGAATCCATCAGGACCTGGGTTTTTCGTTGTTGTTTGTTGTTCCTGTGTCATTCAGGGTTACTATGTTCTTGGCTCAGCTTCGGCATTTCACGTGTATCTAGGAATCTGTTACTGGGTTACTCTGAGTTTGTATATCTTCTTAACTCAGCTTCGGCATTTTATGTGTATGTAGTAATCCACCTAGTTGTTCTGTGTTTTCTATCCTGTGAGAGTAACTGTTTTAGAAGTAGGTATTGGTGATGCTCTGAATTTCTTTGGAATCTGTAGTGATTTCACGTTTTTCATTCGTTATTGCATGAATTTGGTATCTTTCTTCCTTCCTTCCTTCCTTTCTTTCTTTCTTCTTTCTTTCTTTCTTTCTTTCTTTCTTTCTTTCTTTCTTTCTTTCTTTCTTCTTTCTTTCTTGGATTAGGTTGGCTATGGGTTTATCAATTTCATTTATCCTTTTAAAGCACCAACTCTTTGATTCATTTATTCTTTGTTCTGTTTTCTTCATCTCCAGTGCATTAACTTCTGCTCTAACCATTATAAGTTTATGCCTTCTTTGGGCTTTGGGCTTGTGTTGCTCTTTCTTGTAGGAGCTTGAGTCACAGCACAAGATCATTTACTTGGGCTTGTTCTGTTTTCCTAATGCGTGGATGTAGTGCTATCAGTTTTCATCTTAAGACAGCTTTCTTTGCATCCCTCAGGTTTCAGTAGGTTGTATCTGAATTTCATCTAATTGTTAACATTTTTTAATTTCTTCCGGAACTTCCTCTGTGACCCAGTGGTTGTTTAGGAAGTTGCTATTTAGTTTTCATGGAGTATGGTATTTTTGTAGTCTCTTGTTAATAATTACCAATTTTATTGCACTGTGATCAGATAGTAT